TTTTTTTTTTTTTTTTTAAAAGATGACCGGTAAGGGGATCTTAACCCTTGACTTGGTGTTGTCAGCACCACGCTCAGCCAGTGAGCGAACCGGCCATCCCTATATGGGATCCGAACCCGGGGCCTTGGTGTTATCAGCACCGCACTCTACTGAGTGAGCCACGGGCCGGCCCGACCTGTTTTTTTTTTAAATAAGTAATAAACTTAATTTTTATAGCAGTTTTAGGTTTACAGAAAATTTGAGCAGAGTCCCTCACCTGTCTCATTACCAGTGCTTCTCAACCTTGGCTGCACATTAGAATCACCTTGGGAGATCTTAAAAAGCCCAATGTCCAGGCCATACTCAAGAGCATTTAAATCTCTGGGGGTGGGACACAAGCATCAAAAGTCCTTAAAGCTCTCCAGGCAGTTCCAATACGCTACCAAGGCTGAGACCCTCTGTTTTATACAAACACAATGGTGAGGGACTGCTAGTCATAGGTTGGTGAAATCATAGGATCTTAGAAGGGACCTTAGAGGCTATCTCCTCTGATCCCCCTTCCCAGGGAGCCTCACCGTAAATTTTTTTTTTTGGCCTCTATTTGTACTGACCTGGAGCTCCACCATCAGCAGAACCAACTGCAACTCAGCTAGAGCCACCATGGTTACTCTGGAAATCTACCACCTTGTAACACTTCTCTCCCACAGGCCTGGGAGGCTCCAGTTCAATTACATACCAGGGAGCAATGCGACAAGGGCTGCCTGGGGAACCCAACCTAGGGCCTCCAGTTAGATTTCCCACCACATCCTAATGGCTTCTCCAGGGGTATTGATGACCACACAGCTTTATGACACTAGTGGTCTCCCCAAGAAAGAATTCTAGCGGTCTTATGAGTTTTAGTGATCTCATCAAGAAAGTGGGGAAAGGCACATTGCCCATTTCCTTAGGGATCTGAGCCAACCAGGGTCCTCTATTCAAGGCTGGGACAAGGCATCAAACCCACCATTCCAGACAGTCTCTGCTCAGATCAAGAGGATCCCCTCCGGGTCCATCAGGCTCCCTGGGTTTCCATTTCTCACCCTTTGCCTAGCCCAGGGATCATCTGGGGATGGAAGGATTCTGAAAGTGGTCCATGCCAGAGATATGTGGTGTGATGGCTCAGTTTCTGTTTGCTTATCAGTTTATTTGAGTACAGCATTCCTGGATTTGTGAGGGGTACCAGACCTTAACCTCCCAGCCACAGCTGCTATAGCCCAGGATATGAGGGAAGACTGGGCCTTTTCTACAGTAATGAGCCAATACTGACTGTTCATTGATGGTTTACTATACACTGGGTTCTATGTTAGGTTCTTATCTCTATCACCAAATACTCCTACAAAATAGGTGCTCTGCTTATTCTTATTTTACAGGGGTGGAAACTGAGGCCCAGAGAGGCACAATAGCATGCCCAAAGTCACACAGCTGCTGAGTGGCTGGGCTGGGACTGCAATTGAAGCTGTCTGGCCTCAGAGTCTAAGCACAAAACTTCTCTGTGTGCCTTCAGACAACTCCTGGACCCAGATGTACTTAGCAACCCCCGTTCCAATTCTGAGTCCCTCAGCTCCAAAGCAGGCTCGCTTCTGGTGCCCAGCACATAACAAGTCCCTGAGAGTGCAGGCTGGAGACTGCCTCCCTCCTTGGCTCAGGGGACAAACAGCTCTTGCTCAGATGGGGAGTTACCCAATGCTGTCACTTCTTGGCCTGTACAGGGGCTTGGAAACACTTTTCTGCTTGTGGCTTGAAAGAACATGGAAAATGGAAAAATACAAGAGTTTGTGTTCCTCAGACCAAAACAACACACAACCAGATTTCCCTGGGTCAGCACCAGCTCCCCCTGGGTCTTCCCAGCCAGGGACACCCTCAGGGTCCTTATGGCCATCAGCTGCAGTCATATCAGAGGGGAGACAAAGAGCTGGCCAGTTAGCTCAATTGGTTAGAGCATGGTATTATAATACTAAGATCAAGGGCTCAGATCCCTATACCAGCCAGCCACAAAAAAAAAAGAGGGGAGACAAAGTTGACTCCTGTTCATGGTCTTGTCTGCTAGGTCGTACTGGTCCCCCAAACAACCTGGCCATGCTCTGCTGCTGAGGGAAAGGAGGTGAGCAGAAAGAACTCCTGAGACAGGGCAACCTCAGGACTCCCAGGCTCCAGCAAACACCCTCCCAGCCAACAGGTTCTGCTATAGTCTCAGGTGTAAAGTGTCAAGGTCTGCATGCTCTTATTGCACTTCAGGTGCTTCACAGTCAAAATCTATTGAACTTGGGCCTGTCAGAAATTAACTAGAAAAACAAAGGCCATAATGGGCCATGTAACACACATGACACATACGGTGTGTCTATTGCAAGGGTAGTGGCAACCTCTTGCCCCACTGACTGAGGTTGGGACCAGCTGGGCTAGGACCAAGCTCAATCCATTAGAACTCAGCCAGACCCTGATTACCAGCTGGGCATCCCAGTTTATAACACTTTTCAGAACAAAGAGCCAAAAATAGAATAGTGGCTGATGTGGTTCATTACTGGCATTGTGGGCCAAATTTAAAAGAAAATTACCTGTGGTTTATGACTAATAATTAAACAGGTTATACCTCTCACAAAAATGTCCACTAATGGGACAGAGGTAGACTTTTTGAATCATACTAAATATAAAGCAAAAGGGAGAGGGGAAAGTGAACTTGGAAAAAAGCAGCCTGCCTCATGGCTGACTTTTTTTGAAGGTCTGTTATGGTTTGAACATGTCCACTCCAAATTCATGTTGAAACTTTATCCCCATTGTGGTGGTATTAAGAGTTGGGCCTTTTGGGAAGTGATTAAGACTCATGGCAGAGCCCTCATGAATGAATTAAAGCCTTTGTAAAAGAGGCTTCAGCAAGCGTCCACCCCATTTTTCCCTTCTGCCTTCTGCCATGTGAGGACAGCATTCATCCCCACTGGAGGACAGAGCAACAAGGCGCCATCTCGAAAAAAGAAACAGCAGCCCTCATCAGACATCAAACTTCCCGGCACCTTGATCCTGGACTTCCAGCCTCCAGAGCTGTAAGAAACAAATTTCTGTTGTTTATAAGCCACCCAGTTAAGGTATTCTGTCATAGCTGTACAAATGGATTAAGACAGGCCCACTTCTGGGGCAGGTGTAACTTGTCCCCTCAACAGGGCCATGCCCCTGGACTGGTACCTCCGCCTGCAGTCTGGCATTTTATCTAGGTACAGCATACAAAGTGGCCATAAAACCTGGAAACAAGGATAATACTAACTTTTTAAAAGAAATGGATGCTTTTGATTACTTCTGGGATATACTAAAGGCACAGTTTTATTCAATGAGAAATCAGAGACAAATTTTCTGATCACAGGGTATCACGGATGCATGTGCAAGGATCAATGGAAATGTGGCATTCACTGCAGTTTTTCACAGTGCACTGAACCATACACTGTTATGAGCAACAACAGTAACACAGTGTCACGTGCTGTAATACAATCTAAATACGCTGTTTGTTAGTATGCATATTGATGTTTTCCTTTATAGCCACTCACTCTGTAATTGGACCTTAAAGGGAAGACAAAGCTTATTCTTGAAAAAGACTTAGTGATGTAAAGATGTAAATCCTCCTTGGCTTAATCTACAAATTCAATGCAATCCTGATCAAAATAACATCTGTGTGGGCCGGCCTGGTGGCACACTGCTATAGTGCGCCGATTGGGAAGTGCGGTGGCGCTCCCGCCGAGGGTTCGGATCCCACATACAGACCGGCCGCTCACTGGCTGAGCGAGGGGCGGGAGCAACACCGAGGGTTGCGATCCCGTGGCCGGTCCCGGTCCGGTACGGGCGCGACACTGAGGGTTGTGATCCGTTGCCGGTCACGAAAAAAGACAAAAAGGGAAAAAATAAATAAATAAATAAATAAATAAATGGGCCAATAATTCAAAAGCAATGTAGACATAAAGGACATGAAGAAGCAATTCATAGAAAAATGAAATGCAAATGGCGACTAATAAAAGTAAAGATGTTCAACTTCATTAATTATTAAGTGCAAATTAAAAGAAGACATAATTTCTTGCTAATTCATCTGGTGAAGTTCAAAAATAATTATTAATGCTCAGTGTTTTGACAGTTTGAAGAAACGGAAGTTCTTACATTTTGGTGGAGTATAAATTGATATGACCATGTGGAAGGCTGTTTGACAACATCAGCATTTAAAATATACTCTTTGACTTAGCAGAAGTTCCTTTTTTAGGTAAAAATACACCTCATTTTCCTGAGATAGTCCTAGTATGCATCTGTGCTCTCAGGAGCCCCCTGAATTAGCATTTTTCCTGGTTTAGGTGATAGATTATACGATCACCTTACATTTCTAGGTATTAACTTTACTATTAAACTCACATGAGAACGTGAAATGTATAAGTATATTAATTACAGCATTACTTGTAATAAAAGTGCTGGAAATAAATGTCTATCAGTAGAAGACTGATTAAATAAATTATGGTTTATCTTTACATTAGAATTCTCAAGGAGTGTTAGAAGGAATAAGTTAGAGGGCCGGCCCGTGGCTCACTCGGGAGAGTGCGGTGCTGATAACACCAAGGCCACGAGTTCGGATCCTATATAGGGATGGCCGGTTTGCTCACTGGCTGAGCGTGGTGCTGACAACACCAAGCCAAGGGTTGAGATCCCCTTACCGTTCATCTTTAAAAAAAAAAAAAAAAAAGAAGGAATAAGTTAGGTATGTAAGTGTGATTCATTTTGTATGAACAGTTCATAAATACATGCATATGTAAATGCATAGATATATCTATAAAAATACATGGCAAACTGCTAAACAGTAGAAACTGCTAAACCTGGGAAAAGTGGCACAGGAGTGAGCTGGGAAACAAGAATTTTACTTTTTCCTTTATACAAGTCAGGTTTTTATAAATAAGCATTTATTCCTATTACCATCATCATCAGAATGAACCTCAGGGATAAATACATTGATGAAAAGCCAGCCCCGTCTCAGCTGTAACATCGGGGGCAGAGGAACCAGTCCTGAGTAGCTTCCTCCTGATGGACAGAAGAGGAAGGAAGCAGAGAACGGAGGGGAGCGGTAAATGGGGTCTAAGCTGCAGTGTGGGGTTGGGGGTGTTTTTGTCAGTGAATTCATCATTCAGGTGATGCTTAGAGACCCAACTTGACTTCTCCTTATTTCTCCCCGAAGCACAAGCCTAGAAATTGAAAACAGGGTGAGGGTAGGGGCTAAGAAGCCAAGCCTGGATCTCACCTATGCTACAGACACCGACCTCAGGAGAACACCCTGAAGAGCCTGGTCCTTAGGCACATGGGCGAGTGGTGCTATTTTCCATTTTATCCATTTCGGCTCTTTTATTATTTTTTTAAAACTTTTTTTTTTTTAAAGATGACTGGTAAGGGGATCTCAACCCTTGGCTTGGTGTTGTCAGCACCACACTCAACCAGTGAGCAAACCGGCCATCCCTATATAGGATCCGAACCCGTGGCCTTGGTGTTATCAGCACTGCACTCTACCGAGTGAGCCATGGGCCAGCCCTAAAACTTTTTCTAAAGTGACTTGTGTTGAATATCTAACTTAGTAATGTAGTTGAAGGGGACAGGTAGGCCAAGGAGAGCTGAAAAC